TAATTACTTCTAAAAGCAGAGTTGACATACAGCGTACCTAGAGTTTGGTCCTGGTTTCATAAATAAGGAATCTTATCAAAATTAGGTAAGCAGAGTCCCTTAGTTACTTGGATCCAATCACAGAATCCTCCTAATGCAATAATGTTTTTTTGTTTTTTTTCTTCAACGCCACACTCAGCATTTTTCCAGCGATATGACGGCAGTCTGTTAATAATCCAGCCTGGACCAGACAATCTAGTGATTGGCATCATGAGCATCTTTCGCAATTTGGATGCGATGACATGTATCAACCAAGTCAGCCAGTCTGACCCCCCATCCCGCTAGCCCTCCTACGACAAGTATAGTTGCCTTTTACGGAAAGCATGGATGGCTGAAGACCTAGTCTACTCCGGATCTTCACGGGTGAATGCAATTATGTAATCATACACTAGCTCGTGGTTTTCATATAATGATAAAATGTCTAACATGACAATCTGAGCGTTTCCATGATCACATTATCCATGTATGAATGTCAGTCGGCCAATATCATCATTCATAGTACAATTCATAGTACCCCCACCCCCCCCCACACACACCCCATCCCCCTGCCCCGCAAAAAACCCCAACACCAAACAAAGCCCACAATCATACTACATGAGTACATCTTGATATACCATTTACTATTCGAGGGCACGGGTGTCCCAGTCGTCTAAGGCGCCGCGATTCGCTGTGCAGCGTTGCGTCCCTTGGGCACGCCAGAAACCTATGATTGTGGGTTCGAATTCCGGTTCGCCCCGATTATGTTTCTAGGTTTGTCAGCACCATACCCGTGCTCGTTGGTTTCACCGAAGTGGTAAACGTCTGAGACCTTCATCACTTCGGTCTTTCCTCCCACATTAGGCTGACACACCGCGATACAACTGGAATACTGTTAAAAGCGGCGTTAAACCCAACTCACTCACTCACTTGATATACTATTCACGTTTATAGTCCTGAAGGATTGCCACCGCCTCAAGTTGTCTGGTGGTAGTACATTTACCACGTCGGTGAATATAAGTGCAATAATCTTTGACGCGACGTTAAACCCCATTTCACTTCACCATACCAGAGAGTATAAGAAAACTGACAGATGATGTCACATGTTTCCATGACAAGTGAACAAGGCGGGCAGCAAAATGCAGAGAAAAAATGTTTTGTTATGTTTTCATAAATATCGAAAATCCAAGTTATACCCTGAAAAATATATATTTAAAACACCATGCAGAAAGTCACATTTTGCAAATGTTCGGCTGTTAAAAAACATCAACGCCAGGGAATAACCAATCTCAATTATCTGCCGTTAGATTGCATGTTGATGGTTGTTTCTGTGACTGGAACACTTGTTTAGGTTGCGTTTGGCTGGTTGTTTATGTGATGGGAACACTGTTTAGGTTGCGTTTGGATGGTTGTCTCTGTGATGGGAAGACGGTTTAGGTCGCAGTTGGGTGGTTATTTCTGTGACTAAAACACTGTTTATGTTGCGTTTGGGTGATTGTTTATGTGACTGTTTAGCGTGCGTTTGGGTGGTAGTTTCTCTGACGGGAACACTGTTAAGGTTGCATTTGGGTGTTTGTTTATGTGACCGGATCACTGTTTAGGTTGCGTTTGGGTGATTGTTTCTGTGATGGAAACACTGTTTAGGTTGTATTTGGGTGGTTGTTTCTGTGATTGGAAGACTGTTTAGGTTGCGTTTGGGTGGTTGTTTCTGTGATGGAAACAGTGTTAAGGCTGCATTTGGGTGGTTGTTTCTGTGATGGTAAGACTGTTTAGGTTGCGTTTGGGTGGTTGTTTCTGTGATGGGAACAGTGTTTAGGCTGCACTTGGGTGGTTGTTTCTGTGATGGTAAGACTGTTTAAGTTGCGTTTGGGTGGTTGTATTTGTGATGGGAACACCGTTTAGCCTGCACTTGGGTGGTTGTTTCTGTGACGGGAACGCTGTCTAGGCTGCATTTGGGTGATTGTTTCTGTGATGGTAAGACTGGTTAGGTTGCGATTGGGGGGTTGTTTCTGTAATGGGAACAGTGTCCAGGCTGCACTTGGGTGGTTGTTTCTGAGATGGGAACACTGTTAAGGTTGCATTTGTGGTTTTTTTCTGTGAAATGACAAAACTATGAATCATCTTTAATCCTTAATTGGTACCTTCTCTTTGTATCTGCTCTACGTTGCTCAATCATTTCAGTTAGAGCCTTGGTGGAGAACTAATGAGTGCACCTAGCGAACATTCTCATGCCTAGAGCTTTGAAAATTCCTGTTAGTTCAAGAAAAAGGACTGGAAAAATGTAAAAATGATTATAAAAATAAATCATTGAGCCACGTAGAGAAAATAGGTAAAGTCAGTATTTCTATTTATTACTGATCAGCCAAATATCCCATGGATAGTCTCTGGCACTATTGCACTGTTTTATTAGATACTTTTAGGTCCTTTTTGCACCATGTTCACATCACTATCGCACAACAATCAAGTGTCTTCTGTGCCATCTTTGCCAAACTGACACGACATCTGTGTATCACTTTCACTGAGTAATGGAATTGTGAGATGTGATAACATTTCATAACACAGGGAAGTAACTTATGAAATGTAGCTTATGACGACGTTGATCGATCACTTACAAACTAAAATGAAAACAAAAATCCTTCAGTGAAAAACTTCCGTGGCTTCTAAAAAGCCACTTCGATCAAAAAGCTGTGGGATGACGTCCATTGTAAATGCACTAAAGTAGCAGGAATGAAGTTGAAATATTTTCTCTCACTAGAGAATACCCCACTCAGACACAGTATACTGACTCCGAGCCAATCGGTCCTTTTTTGCGCTTTAATGCTGAGCGCAAGACAGCAAGTACCATCTTTGAAACATGTTTTGGTATGGTGCTGCCGGGGATCGAACCCCAGACTTGCTGCTCTCCGGGCGGACGCTCTACCACTTAACCATGGAGGCGGTCTCATACCACCTAGGCACACAATCTACTCTTCATATCTCCAAGACAGAGATTATCTACTCTTCATTCAATCTCGACAGAGTTATCTACTCTTCATACAATCTCGACAGAGTTATCTACTCTTCATTCAATCTCGACAGAGTTATATACTCTTCATACAATCTAGACAGAGGTATCCACTCTTCATTATATCTAGACGGAGTTATCCCATCTTCATACAATCTAGACAGAGTTATCTACTCATTATTCCAGCTAAAATGTAATTGCAGCCTAGTTTGGCAAGGGTGGAAACTGGACATTTAAGTCCCTTGCCTGGGGAAGAGTGAGTAAGTGAGTGAGTAAGTTGGGTTTAACGCCGCTTTTAACAGTATTCCAGTCATAACACGGCGTGCCTGGGGAGGATGTCTACTCTCCGGACATATGCTCTACCACTGGTTATATGAATGAGGCGGTTCATCATGTGAGTGAGTGAGTGAGGGAGTATGGCTTACGCCACTTTTAGAAGCAATTTTCCATATCTTTGCACACTCTACCCATGTGGGGATCGAGCCAGGAGCTTTGGCATGACGGCCGAACGCTTTAATCACTAGGCTACCCCAATTCTCCTGTATCATTCTTGAACATTCCCACAGTTCAACACATCAATCAACACTTAGTGATTTCATTGTACTTTGGCCGGCCTAGCCTGCTATCTTCATAAAAACGTTATCTTTCAAGGTCATGTTATCTGCTGACAGACGGAAATTTCCTTTTCATCATGACGCATTTAGACTGAAACGAAAGCACAACTCCTCCAGATTACAAATGTTACAACTGTACTTTCAAACCAGCTTCGCGTAACCTGTTTGAACTGGACAACGGGTTGGAATGTTTTTGTTTAAATATGTTTTTGTATAAATTTGCTTGTGCTATACCAATTAATAGCCTATTAAACAATTATTGTTTTCGTACAAATTTAAACAAATGAAATGATGTTGACGTTAATTAAGGGGTCTTCGGAAATTCATTTTATTATTGTGATTTACTGATTTTGTAGAAGGTAATTTATTATTGTTTCAAACTCTGCTGGTCTTGACTTGATTATTTACACGCCGTCGAGATACTGAATAGATATTTCTAGTTGATATTTTTCTGGGTTTTTTTCTTCTAAGTGTTGGGGTGGGTGGGTGGGTGGAGGGATGGGGTTGGGAATGGGTTTCAACTGGAGTGGGAATACACTTGATCCAATAGTTTGCCTTAGGGTTAAAGGAACCCCATCAAATTGATCTCTGGACATGCTTGGTGTTATACAAAATGTGTTGTGTAACTTTCAGAGTAGGTCTTGAAGCAGTGACCGGTTTTTGTCCAAGATATATTCAAGCAATACCACTTCCCGTCCACCACTCCCCTCACCCCCATAATATAGAATAAGTGTTTGCATATACCATTTAAAATGCACCAATCATACAATACGAGACTTTCATTGGAAATGGCAAGGGCTGTAACTTGTTAAGGCAAGAGGACGTTCTTGGTTCAGGAAGATGCTCAGCAAGCTGCCTGCAAATCATTATCCCACAATACTCAGGAACCAAGCAATTACCATGGCCCTGGCAACGGTTATGTGGGTGTCATCGACAAAGATGATATAATTTTTCTTCATGTCACAGTGACTGATTATTCATTAGACGATCATTGAACTCCGTTCTCAAGTTCAAATCAGTTATCCCACTAACATAAGCTTACAAACAAACATGATTTGACACAGTGCCTTGATAGTGCTGGGTGTTTGATGGCACTCGTGAGCAGGCGTTGGTCAGTATGCAGGACGTTATCATATTTTAACATGCACATTATCCAAAATGTCAAAAAGACGAATTCTACGAATCAATACAAATCTAAAATACCACAATTGAGTGGATATCACTATTGAAATTGGGTGAAGATCATCAATAAAATTGCACTTAGGTCCCTTGTCAGTCATTACTCACCATCGCCAACTTCGCACACATGATTGTGAGATGGCCCCTGTTATCCTCGTCCAATTGCTGCAATCGGTATTCATTACTTGTTACAGATTACTGATAACACAGCCCGGAGGTGTGTTTCAGAAATAATTTGCAAACTTGATCTCAGGTGTGTACCAGTAAAACGTCATTTTGGAGGTCCTTTGGAAGAGCAACATGTTTTCTAAACTGGTGATAGTTTCCCTATGCGTGATGGGTACGTATTGAAACTCATGATTTTAAAAGTTGCACATGAGTCGTTTACATAATTTAGAGTTTTCCAGCCTTAATGTTTCGTTCACATTTCTGACATGGCGGTTACTTTGTAACAATACAACCTTTGCAACCCCCTCCTAAGTACCCGCCTCCTTGGTCAAGTGGAAGGTGCGTCTGCTCGGAGGTGCGTCAAACCGAAGACGTAAAACAAATGGTACTTGTTGTCCTACCTGGTGCGCGGCAGTAAGGGGATATAACAAGGACGGTTCAGAGTCGGTATAATGTGTGACAAGGGAAACCTGTTGTACTCGGGGGCGCAGGTGGCCCAATAGTCTAAGGCGCCGCGATTCGCTGTGCAGAGTTGCTTCCCTTGGGCATGCCAGAAACCTATGATTGTGGGTTCGAATCCTGGTTCGCCCCGATTATGTTTCTAGGTTTGTCAGCACCATATCCGCGCTCGTGGGTTTCACCGAAGCGTTAAACGTCCTTCGGGTGTTCCTCCCACATTAAGCTGACACGCCGGGATATAACTGGAATACTGTTAAAAACGGCGTTAAACGCAACTCTGTTCACACTGTTGTCCTACGGTGGGCTAGCACTATAAAACCGGCATAAGTTGACACTAGTACCAGCAGCCACAGACATGCACGTCGCTACAAGAGCGACATAATCTTAAAGGCAACATTAATCCCCATATCAGCTCTCCTGTATCGTTGAGTATGGCGTGACGATAGATCAGGTCCCCTGCTTACGTTAAGTTTCTTTCATTACAGCTCTCAGCATCAATGTGGAAGGTACATGTGACGAAAATGCCTGCTCCTCAGAAACGAAGAATTACCTACGACTTTTATCAAAGGATGGTTTATCTAGCCAGGAGGTGTGCCCGTAAGTATCTTCTCTTTGTCTTTATATGTGAAATGTTATCATTTTAACGCATAGTATTTTTTAATGATACAGTAACAAAAATAATGTGTTCCTGATATAGAACACATATTTTCCGAATCATTAGAACATAATTGTTTTCATCTATCATAGATTGTATTCCAAACATAAGTGCATTCTTTTCATATTTGATCTCCAGTAGTTCACCTGAATGTCTTTCAGGAGGTATTGTAGTATATTGGCAAATACTGATTCGAATTGACGGTCCTTTATTGAAAAGGACAAAAGATATACTTGATTGTTTTTCCAAGGTTAAGTGAGCAGCCCATCATTTTTGTTGCACAGCATGCCACTAATACCTACAAATGAAACACATGTTATCAACTATTTGTGAAATACTTTATTAGGGTTGCCTTCGCACTTATTGACTGTCAAAAAGGAGTCATCAAAAATTGCGGAATGGATTCATCTTTACTCGATCCTTTGAAGAGTTATTTTGAGCAGAACGGCTGCAGTGAGTACATTCTCGGCAATTTTGAATCGATTTCTTATTTATTTTATACAAAACGTTCTACTTGCTTGTACTTGAAAACAAGTTGATTGAATGTTCCTCTGCTCATTATCCCAAAGGGATTCCGCGTCACACGACGGGACTCAGGATCAGGAAAAAAATGTAAATATTCATGTTTAAATACACATATATAAAACGATAACATACTGTTAAATAATTTATATATAATTATCAAGGAAGTGAATATTGCTAAATTCAGTCTTGATATTTAAAAGAATAATCATCTAAAGTGTCCAATTTGATTATCCAGGTTTATATTTTAAAACTTGTTCTACTAATTAAATACCTTTCATTTTCAGATTCAGCCGAAAAACTTTTCGTCTTCAGTCCATTCCTACTCCTACTTCTCCTTTTGGCCAAGTCAGTTAACTAAATAGATTCGGTATTCTGAACATACACTGAACATGCATGTACTTGTCCTTTGTAAGTTTCAGAGATAAGTGATCTTTATGTATAACATAAGTATAAAATAGATAAGCTCTAAATTGGATAATCTATCAATGTGGAAGTGAAAGTAAGAAAATCAATTTTACCTAGTAGCAGTCTATCACCTGTTCCTGCTTTGTTAGAAAGTTGACTTGATTGTGTTGCTACAATACTCGATGTTGTGAAACCTCGATGGTAAAGACACAATTGATCCGGAAATCCTGCAGTCTGGAAAAATACATTCGAGTTCAACTGTGGAATATACTAATCCGGACCATTTTTATAGTGAACGGTATTGACAGGATCAAACGGAATCACATACAAAATGGCTACAAATTTTGTTTTGTTTGTTTGTTGTTTAACGCCGCACTCAGAAATATTACAGCTCTATGACAGCGGTCTGTAAAATAATCGAGTCTGGACCAGATAATCCAGTGATTGACATCATGAGCATCGATCCACGCAATTGGGATCGATGACATGTATTAACCAAGTCAGCGAGCCTGACCACCCGATCCCGTTAGTCGCCTTTACGACAAGCATAGTCGCCTTTTACGGCAAGTATAGGCTGCTGAAGACCTATTCTACCCCGAAATCTTCCTGGTCTGCTGGCTGAGCGAGGCGTTAAACAACAAACAAACAAACAAACAAACAAACAAATGATTAAGATCACTGTAACACATACTTATCCAAGAGATGCTTGTCAATAATGTCTTTTTACGGCTCTTGATCCATGTCATTTTTCTTAATGCATAGTATGTGCAATGGGGACAAGTTTTCTCAGAAACTACGGACGGCAGAATTTGTGTGTATTAATTTCACATTTAACCATGTTTTCTGATGACATAAGCGGCCCAACTGCCGATCTCTTCTTTAGGCTTTTAGGACTCTTTTTGTAGTTTATGTTCATTACTATATGAACAAACAAAATTCGAATGTGCCTCATAGCGAGGGATAGTGACAACGCTGTTTTTTTAAAAAAACTTTGGCCTTCCTGGTCTGCTGTCTACGGAAGCGAAGTAGGGCCACGGTAATTTTTTTTTGTCTAAGTATCTCCTACGTAGGACTTAGTATCTCCTACGTAGGACTTATTATCTCCTACGTAGGACTTCCTGTCTCTTACGTAGGACTTACTATCTCCTACGTAGGACTTATTATATCCTGCGTAGGACTTCCTTTCTCCTAGATACTACGTAGTCCTACGTAGGAGATATTAAGTCCTACGTAGAAGATAGTGAATCTAGGCCATACTAACTCCCACCTAGGAGATAGTAAGTCCTACGTAGGGAATAGTAAGTCCTACGTAGGAGATAGTAAGTCCTACGTAGGACGTAGTAAGTCCTACGTAGGAGATAGTAAGTCCTACGAAGGAGATACTAAGTCCTACGTGGAAGATACTAAAGCAAAAATGTCACCGTGGCCCTACTACGCTTCCGTAGCTGTCTACACCGAAACGTTATCTATGTCAATCATATTAAGAGGCGGAGATGTTTTTTTCCAAGTGGCGCATTTAAGCTGAATCGAAAGTACAACTGTGTTTCTTGGAAATCGACTTTAGACGAGACTCTCATTATTTCACTGTTACTCATCAACTCGAGACGACAAGTGTTGTGGATTACAAACTGTCGATATGAGTAAAAGACAAGCTTCGTCATCCATAAAGCAGAAGCAAGTCACTCAGGCTGCTTTGATGAGGAAAGTCCAGCATGACCCCGGCAGATTTCGAGTTGGAGCCACAAGTGACATGTCTTCAAGAATGTCTGGCTACAAGAGTGATGGATGCAAAGGGAAGACGGCTTACTATGCGCCGTCCCAGAACCCTGGGATGAAGGAGAATAAGCTCCTCAGCAAACTCCCCGCCAATCATGCGCACAACGATCACAAAGCAAGCAACTACCATTGCCCTGGTCAAGGTTATGTGTATGCCATCGATATGAAGAAATAGTTACAAAGATGTAACCTGGGGCTTTCAACTCTTTGTCACAGTGACTGTGTGACATTGAATCATAGGAACTTTCTGTGACATTCAGTCATTGAACGAGATGTTTTCTTGCTGAAACAGATGAGGAATAGAGATCGAAAAAGTGATGAAGAACCTGATTTCAAGTGAAGATACAAGTGAGTCTTCGAAAATGACACTTTAAAAAAGATTTTGGACACTCATGCCGGCCAATACAGTGTTGTATTATTTTTGATAGTATTGAGTACTCTGTAAATGTATGTATTTCTCATTTTATTGATTATGTTAATTTGACATTTCGCTTGAAACCAGCGAATGGAAAGAAATATGTACATGATTTATTAAAAACTGCCCCAGTGATTTGGCGAGTCATGTGTTTAAACCACACCGGACGGATGGATTTAATTTCTGTTGTTCTATCACATTTTGAAAGGGAAGGGAATGGATTTTCATAACGTATAGCTGCTAGATATTTTCTCGATTTGGAATGTCGATTTGTCTTTAAAACAGTGTTCGTTGCCTTTTGATGCATTCAGTAAAACATTCCGGAATGTAGTTTTGTGTAAATAGTGCTGAAAAGGTAAAGGTGAATTATATCGAACATGATAATCTAGTTTTAATTCACATGTGTGTTATTTGTTAAAAGTATTTGCACGAATATGTTATAAGAAAGACTGTTGTAAGAATGAAATTATCACTCTAAGAGACAAATGACAGATTCTATTCATCATAACACGAAACATGTTTTTTCGCTGACATACACAACAACACAAGAGCAGCTGTCTAATTGAAGTCGTATTCGTGCAGTAACACTAACATAGCGGGCTTCTTGAGGAAAACCCCCTCCTGGACATACCAGTGTGCCTGTTCTATCCCCTACTGATCATGCTGGTGTGTCCTGTTCTATCCCCTACTGTACATGCTAGTGTGTCCTGTTCTATCCCCTACTGGACATGCTGGTGTGTACTGTTTATCCCCTACTGGACATGCTAGTGTGTCCTGTTCTATCCCCTACTGAACATGCTAGTGTGTCCTGTTCTATCCCCTACTGGACATGTTGGTGTGTACTGTTTATCCCCTACTGGACACGCTAGTGTGTCCGTTGTATCCCCTACTGGACATGATAGTGTGTCCTGTTTATCCCCTACTGGACATGCTAGTGTGTCCTGTTCTATGCCCTACTGTACATGCTGGTGTGTCCTGTTCTATCCCCTACTGGACATGCTGGTGTGTACTGTTTATCCCCTACTGGACATGCTGGTGTGTCCTGTTCTATCCCCAACTGGACACGCTAGTGTGTCCTGTTTATCCCCTACTGGACACGCTGGTGTGTCCTGTTCTATGCCCCACTGGACATGCTGCTGTGTCCTGTTCTATCCCCTACTGGACATGCCGGTGTGTCCTGTTTATCCCCAACTGGACATGTTGGTGTGTCCTGTTTATCCCCTACTGGACATGCTGGTGTGGACATGCTGATGTGTCCTGTTCTATCCCCTACTGGACATGCTGATGTGTCCTGTTCTATCCCCTACTGTACATGCTGTTGTGTCCTGTTCTATCCCCCACTGGACATGCTGGTGTGTCCTGTTTATCCCCCACTGTACATGCTCGTGTGTCCTGTTCTATCCCCTACTGGACATGCTGGTGTGTCATGTTCTATCCCCAACTGGACATGCTGGTGTGTCTTGTTCCATCCCCTACTGGACATGCTGGTGTGTCCTGTTCTATCCTCTACTGGACATGCTGGTGTGTTTTGTTCTATCCCCTGATGAACGTGCTGGTGTGTCGTGTTCTGTCCCCTACTGGATACAACCGCCTCCGTGGTCTAGTGGTAGAGCGTCCGCCCGGAGAGCGGAAGGTCCGGGGTTCGGTCCCCGGCCGCGTCATACCAAAAGACGTTAAAAGATGGTACTTGTTGTTACCCTGTCTGGCGCTCGACATTAAGGGGCTAAAACAAGGCCTGGTCGGCTCGGAGTCAGTATACTGTGTCTGAGTGGGGTATTCATGTTAAACTGCGGAATGGTATCTCAGTGAGCTAGCACTATAAATCGGCATCAGTCCGGACTAGTACAAGCAGCCACACAAACACAGACACGTACATGCACGTCGCTATATAAGTGCAATAATCTTGGACGCGACGTTAAACCCCATTTCACCTCACACCCTACTGGACACGCTGGCGTGTCTTGTTCTATCCCATACATGACATGCTGGTGTTTCTTGTTCTATCCCCTACAGGACATGCTGCTGTGTCCTGTTCTATCCCCCACAGGACATGCTGGTGTGTCCTGTTCTATCCACTACTGGACATGCCGGTGTGTCCTGTTCTACCCCCTACTGGACACGCTACTGATCCGTTGTATCCGCTACTGGACACGCTGGTGTGTCATGTTTATCCCCTACTGGACACGCTGGTGTTTCCTGTTTATCCCCTACTGGACATGCTAGTGTGTCCTGTTTATCCTCTACTGGACATGCAAGTGTGTCCTGTTCTATCCCAAACTGGACATGCCGGTGTGTCCTATTTAACCCCTACTGGACATGCCGGTGTGTCCTGTCGCAAAGCAGTATCATTTGTCAACTGAAAGTCACACTATAAAATCATTGAAACTGAATCTGTTGTTATTAACTTTATTAGAATAATGACCTGAAAAGTTGTTTTCTTGGCATTCCTGGAACGTGCTGCCCAGTCGTCTTATGCGCTGCAAGTCGCTGTGCAGAGTTTCGTCTCTGGAGCACGCCAGAAACCTATGATTGTGGGTTTGAGTGAGTGAGTGAGTGAATGAGGTTTTACGCCGCTTTTAGCAATATTCCAGCAATATCACGGCGGGGGACACCAGCAATGGGTTTCACACATTGTACCCATGTCGGGAATCAAACTCGGGTCTTCGGCGTGACGAGCGAACGCTTTAACCACTAGGCTACCCGACCGCCCCTTGTGGGTTTGAAGCCCGGTTCGTCCCGATTATGTTTCTAGGCATGTCAGCTACATAACCGTACCCGTGGCTTTCACCAAAGTGGAAAATGTCCGAGTCCTGCATCACCTTGAGCTTTCCTCCAACATGAACCTAACACACACGGATATAACTGTGATGCTGTTCAAAGCGGTATTAAACCCAACTTAATCACACTTCGTGTCGGGTACAGAGAAGACTCAGTCATTTCTCGGAAACGGTCATGTGATATGTCTGTTACATGTCTTCATTCATGACCTACATTTAGCTATCAGGTTTGAGTTTGTGTGCATGTCTGAAATGCATTTGATTAAGGTTGAGCGCAACAACTTAAAATGGGAACGGCACACCCCGGAGTGTAACAGAGAATTACTGTTTACCGGTGGGGGTGGTTTATGAAACAAATAGACAAAGCGTTTTTGTTTGGTTAGATGAGAAAGAAGTAATGATTACTGGGAACCTCGGTCCCTTCTACCGTGTATACTGAAACGTTGTCAATGACATATGTAGCTTCCGATTAAGAGGCAGATGCATTTCTT